GGGCCCCGCCGCTCCGCTCCGCCCCGGTACGGCCCCGGTCCAGCCCCCCCGGTCCCGCCCCGATCCCGCCCCATCCCGCCGCAGCACAGCACAAGGGGTTGGGGCTGACAACGGCGAGTTTATTAGTTCAGGTACAGCGAGGAGGATTGCAAGCACTTCCAGGACAAATATACAGAGGGGAAGATGGGAAAGGACAAAAGAAAACGAATAAACGAACAACAACAACAACAAAAAAAAAAACCAAAACCAAAAAACAAACCGAAGCAGGAGCAACACAGAACAGGAATCAAGCTAAAAAGGGCACGCTTGCATCTGTGTTATGACATCGTACTCCCAAGCAGGAATCGTTTCCTTTCTCCAGTTAAGTCGAGCGGTCTTGCAATAAAACCAAGAGTGGTGGGGGAAGAAGTTAGTGTGCATTTCCCTCGAAAATAAACTCTAATTCATGCCAGTTAAACACTAGAACTAAAAATTTACAAAGAAGCATCAAAGGAGATGGAAGTGTTATTAGAGTTATCTTTTCCTCTCTGAACAGTCCCGAAGAAAAACAATGGCTACAAATACAGCAGGCAAACTGACTGTTGGACTGAGGGGGACAGGAGATATATATAGTGTCGTAAGGAATTCAGTCTCAAGTTGTGCTAAACGCTCTTCGTCCTCTGTATGGCACATTTTGGTCCATGGTGGGGATTTTAAGTCGAGACGAACCCCGATTTCTTACAGAAATGTGTAAATATTGTTGCTCTTTAAAATGCCAGGTGTACTTCCTTCTACAAAGGTTAGGAGAGGTTTATAGGAAGTAGTCTGGGGTACGACGGGTAACATGAGGCTCTCCACGACGAGGTGCTGGGTCAAACTGGAGGCTGCAGGAAAGAAAGAAAAAAAAAAAAAGGCATCATTTTCCCTCCTCAAAGTATTTTCCAACACCACAACAAGCACTAGACTTGCTTTCCCACTGCCGTTGCTTTACTCTTCCCAGCTGCTTCCGCATAAAACGTTCCAGGTCTCAAAACAAGCATCCGCGGGAGTTACAACTCATCGGCTGGTCTGAGCAACCTCCGCCCCCCAGCGCTTCAGCTGCCATCGCTACTTTCACTCGAGCTCAGCTGAAGGCAAAATTCAGACTCCTTCACCCATCTTTACACAGCCTAGTGCTACCAGAAATAAAAATAAATACATAAAAATCAATCTGTCTTTACTCTCTCCGTGAAGCTCGGGCAATAGAGGGATTAATAAAAAGCACAAGCTCCAACTCTCCCGAGAGCAGGAAGAGGAGATAAGAGCTACAGTACCCAAGAGAAGCTTTTAAGAGCTTAACGCTCTACTTATTTTTAGACATTCTTGCAGGTACAGCACACAACGTTAATTCCAGAGTGGTTCAAGGTGGCTTTTCATCAAAGAAGCCCTTTGGAAAGGATCCGACGTTCCTCACTGTACAGAAGGGTTAGGAGGAGCTAACAGCCCCAGGTTACTCACAAGGAATATTTTAAAGTGTCATCTAGTTCCATGATAGCAGCCTGGTTCCCACAACGGTAACAGTAATTGGGCGCACTGAAAATGGTAACCACGTTTCGGTCGTGGCACCAGTTATAACCCTGCCAGAAAAAGAGAGAAAAAGTCTTTGTTAAACCTCCAACCTCAGCCCGTCTGAAGTTTCTCTTCAGGCCTGAAACGACCCAAGGCACTTGTGAAACCCTAGACTTCTCGTCAGTATTTCCAACTGACTTGGTTTCATTTTATAACAAGTACTTGACCGCAAGAACAAGCGGTGGCTACCCGGCCAAAACAGCTTCAACCACTCTACAGAGAGATCGGCCATTCATCGCTCACGTGTTTATCCGTTTTGTACGCAAATTATGGATTGCGCCACAAAGAAACCTCGAGATTTGTACGTACGCCTTCAGCTTTCATCCCCCGCAAATCCGAATTTGCTTGCTGGATGCGAGCAACTTCTGACACGCAGTACTGCTTAAGGGATCTACTAGATTTTAAAAATACATCTGCTCCATTGACCCACCAGGCATTTTTCCAGCAAGATGTACAAGAATAGCCTATCAACAGCCGAAATTATGGCTTAATCCCTCTCACATCTGACTGCCGAGTATTCTAGGACAGCCTGGTTAACGCAGCAGCAGCCAGCGCGTAAGGAGATTATTACTTCCACAAACGGGGCTTGACAGGGTCCCTTCGGCAATTTATTCGGGGCAGGGGGGAAGAGCAGAACATCCCCGTATTTACATCACGGGTCAAAGCACATCGTTTTACGCCGCTTGCTGTTTTCACACCATTAAAGTCCCTGTTTGGTATTTACCTGCGTAAGATCTAGGTGTCAGCTCATGCAAACCCATCAGCAGAAGGTCTCCCAGAGGAGACAAGAACTGGCATCTGTTTTGTTAGCCCCGTCTAGCAAAGCGCTTGCCCTACCTCCATGACAAGTTGGTGAGCACGGGAGACCAGTGTCAGACCATTGGCGTGGTTAAATGTTTCGGAAATATCTTGCCCAAACGTGTAGCCGGCACCACGTGGAGATATACCCCAGCCGCCGCGATCATCCGGATCTGACCACAACAGATCACACATCGGACCCTTGAAAAAGATTAAATATTCTTCATTAGATCACTAGCAAGATGGCCGTAAAAAAGCCACTTTTATAACACATTTCTAGTAAAAAGGCTGCCAACGTGTCCTTCTCTGCACAAGGCACGAGTTCATTTAATACACAAAACAGCGGCTAGTTACTCACGGCATCAGTCAGCGTTCTTCCCAAAGAAATGAATACCAGAGAACCGTTCCCACCTCCTCTTCCACGCACACCGTTCACTATTTCACTTCAACTGGTCAGAGATACAAAGACACGGAGAGCAGATCCACAGCCTTACTCCTGACTCTCTCAGTGTAATAAAGAAAGGCCACGTGTGAAGGTATGCACGTCCAAGGATGCACAATGGATTCACTGCTGCCAGCCAAGTTGCAATAAATTAAAGAAAGGGAAACGACCCGTATGAGGCTATGAACTGTTCCAGAGACTGATGTTAAGCCTTCGGCGGCCCTTCTGGCAGGGTATTCATCATTTAATTTCCTCTCCTAAACAGTCTATCGTTGGGCTTGACATATTCAAAAATATCCTGGTGTACATCTCCTAACAGCCACCAATGAAGTTCAGCGGCTTTTCCTGCCGAGCTACAAAGGGGCAGTAACGACATGAAGTATTTATCCAAACCTGCTGCCGTTCCCTACCCGCCGAGCTAAGCTCTGCTGAGATCTGCAGGGATCACAGTGACCACGTCTGAAGGTCCCCAGCACAGCCGGATTTCAGCTCAGGACTGGGAAAACCCCAGAGCCACAATATAATTGTTACTCCTAACTATTCTAGGATCCATTTACACAGCTTATTTCAGGGTTTTGGAAGGCTTGGACAGACCTTGCTGCATTGTTCTTGCCGTTATACCAAAAACCTTGCAGGACAAGCAGTTCATTTTAATCAAGGACCACTCAAGTCCACTTGTAAGCCCCAACCACTCCAACACCAAAGAGCCATTTGCTACCCCGGGGAGCTCAGAAGGTGGTTTCTTCAGCCCTGAACGGAAGACTGGCTAGGGAGGAAGGATGGTGACACAACACGGCTTCACGTGGTGGTTGCCTGTTCACAAGCAGGCTGAAGGTAACGAACACCTTCCCCTGCCAAGTACTATTATTCTTTGAGCCAGCGTGACAGCCAAAAAATCCCGTGATTCTGTGAAGGACTGCTGTGAAAACCTCACAGCTCTCCTTTTGTAGGCTGCTGTAGTCAAAGCAGATTGACTTGTGTGTGTTTTACCCAAATGTGCGTTCATCTGCTCCAGCTCGTAGCAAGGCAATAATCCGCTGTGTAACCGTGCGTCTCACTGTTTAAGTGGATTTCAACGTGAGGCTACATTTGCCTTTTCCACCAACAGATATCTAAGTTTATGATGCATTTCCTCCACTGTTACCTCGTGTGGAACTTCCTGCAGGCGGTCCAGAGCCCTGATATGATCCAGTGTATCTATGGATGGAGACAGGCCACCATGGAGACAGAATATCTGGTCCGGAGAAAAAGAAAAAAAAAGAGCAATCCATTCAGTGCATATTGTTATGGGAAGACTGATCTCAGAAATAGCTGGTTTTAACTCTGTTATCATTCTTTCACAATTACAGCTGTCTCACCCTCGCAGCAGAGAAACCAAATTTAATTCCCACAGAAGGAAACAAAACTAAAAGGCTGCACCTTGCATAGAGAGGTGAGAGCAACAAAGACACCATGCCGTCCGTTTTAAGAGTATCTTCCTTCACGGCCACAACTCAACTCGCACCTAACATATAACGAGGGGATCCCCGCTTGCTGAGCGGTCGTTTGCAACGAACCATACGTGCAATACCCTGCCAGTCCTTCGGCAGCAGAATCAAAAGCCTTCCCGTGCCATCAGCTTATATTAACGCCTCACTCAATTCTTCCCCAACCCACAATAAGTACTTGAGCTTTCAAAAATATTCACATCACAGGTTAAGGAAGCTTGTTTGAGACTGTTGCTGTTGAGGTCAGACAAAACAGTCGGCATAACTCCATGAAATGGAGCGTTTTCCTTACTCAAGGCTTACCTGGCCATCTACTAGAGCTGTAAGCGGAAGATAATCAAACAGATCTGTGAAATACTTCCAGACGTTGGCATTGCCATACTTTCGCAGACATTCGTCATAAAAGCCGTACACTTGTGTAATTTGTCTGCTTTCGTGATTGCCCCTCAGTATTGTGATGCGTTCCGGGTAACGCACCTATTGACAAAAGAAAATTCTTCTTTAACTCAAGAATGATACCGTCAATATAGAAAGAAACAGTAACAGAATATTTCAAACAGCAGTCAAGCATTCAGCTCCGTTACAGAACACGTGTCCATTAATGCATTTCAGTTTACATCCGTCTAGCTCAAGCCAACGGCGGCGCCAATGGGAGGAGCAATTCTTGCAAGACTCCCAAAAAGCGGTGGTTTTGCCCAAGGTAGCTGTAGAAAAGCTGTCAAACCGTACCTTCAACGCTACTAGAAGAGTCACTGTCTCCACCGAGTAATAGCCTCTGTCCACGTAGTCTCCCATGAACAGGTAATTTGTGTCTGGCGATTTCCCACCAATTCTAAAGAGTTCCATAAGGTCGTGGAATTGACCGTGGACATCCCCGCAGACGGTGACGGGGCAACGTACCTCTTGCACATTCGATTCTTTCGTAAGAATTTCTTTAGCCTAGAAAAACACATTTAGGACAAAAAGGTAGCCAACTCCTTCGTAAGCGGGTGCAGATGTTATTCCACCGCATACAAACAAATTCAAAGTAGTAACCAAACAAGTTAATTCCCAACCTCCCCTGAAATGAAGCAGTGTGAACTTCAAGACTTGCACCGGATACACCGCGTCCGTCACCACTGGGGTTCACCCATCAATCCTGCGCCTCTTGCAAACGTTTCTTGCGCGCAGACAGGATGAAGCACTATTCCGGTAAGCTTCATTAGCACCACAGGCAAGCCTTATCTTCTTAAGCACAACTGATTATTTTTATTTATTTTTTTTTTTTTAAACATACAGATTTTGACAGATTTCTTCATCTATGTGTTCAACACAGCTCGGGTCTGTTCATCTCAGCTACGCGAGCTACGGCAGGACCCAGCAGTCTCATCCGACTGCCCAAGACAAGCGCTATCCACTTCTACCAAACCTAGTAGTTTTTACCTCAAGAACCAGAGCTGTCCCCTCGGTATTGCAGGCCATCCCAAGTCCTGTCAGCAAGAGTTCAGTGCCAAACTCGTACCAACAGAGATTAATCAACACTCCTGCCGCCTGCTGTAAGGGCGGAAATACCAGAGGAGATAGTGCACGCCACGCAGGCGACTCTGACGGTTTTTTGAACAACTTGATCTGCAAAAGCCCACTTAAAGCTAGGTATTTTATGCTTACGCTAGTAAGAAAGCTATGACCTCCTAGACTTGTGAGAGAAGTCATCCGACTTGCAGCGATGCACTTGGACACAGACTCCCTCCTGCCACATTTCAGTCTGACTACCATCTGGGTTGCTCAATGGATTGCTCTCAATCCCACGCAGCCGCGTGGAACCGTTCGCAGGCTGGAACAAATCCTCTTCTGCCAGCACTGACAGCTACTCCTCACCGCCTTCCTCCTCCAGGATCCCTCAGGCTTCCCGCCGTTGCCGCACACCCATAAACCTCACGTGCTCTCCCAGGACCAGGATTTCGCAGCAGCGGGTCTGTGCCATGGAAACAACACTACGAACGGCGCGTTCGTTCCGTATCGACAAAGCCAGCTCATCACGGGATTGCTGAGCAGAGAATTTCGGAAAGGCCGCACATGACAAAGCAGCTCGTCTGGCAGAAACGCTGGGCAACCGCCACTGCACCAGACGAGCTGAGCTGCGTTACTCCGCCGAACAATAACCAACGAGCATGCCAGTGCCGGGGGCTGACGGGGCTGCCCCAGCTCTCCGGAGGTACCGCGCTTCCAGAGCGCGCTGCGGTGAGTACGAGACCTCAGGAGCCCTACGTGAGGAAAAGGAACCGTCTCTGCACATTCCCAGAACGCGGGGGAATTAACAAATCCATTTCCCTTGCAGAGGGGCAGATTTCTTCTTCTTGCTCAAGCTACCGAGGAATACAAGTATTCCTAAGCTTCGCTGTACCAACCTGGCACAGAACCTAGCCGCATAGGCAAGAGGCGCTTCCCTCGCCCAGGGCACTTTTGCCTGCCAGATTTCCAATCCTCTTCCAAGCACAACAGTTTAACAACTTCTAAAGGCAGGTCACATACAACTGGAAAAGCAAAGTCAGAAGCGATTTAAACATATGGAGCCACAACCAGCTTGCCTGGCCGTACCCAGCTGGCAACAAAATGACCACAGATGGAGGGATGGCATCCCTGGATTTAGTCATCTCTTCCTCTACACCCAGCAGTTCCTCTGCTAGTTACAGCCACGTAACGCAGCCTATCTGCATTACCTTATCAGACATCGTGTTTGTTTTGCTGCTTCCAGCTCATCGACTGATGCAGATCAGCGCTCCAGGCACACGTGAGGCACAGAGAACACCCACAGATAGGCTCGGTCTGATGTGGACAAAAGGGCTCAAAGATCCCCGGTGCTTAACAGTCACTTCCCAAGGACGCCCGCCTTCGCATTCAAACATTAGTTGCCTTGCCTCTTTTAGGGAAAGCGCATATTTGGAAAGAAAAACTAAATCCCAAGCAGTCAGGGCTTGGACAGCATCCAGCATGCCCCCTGCATGGTACGTAACCCAAGGGATGCGACTCTGATCCTCAAAGACAGGTCCTGCGCGTGGACTTGATGATGCGGGGTCCACCTCGCAGTTCTAAACTGACTGGAAACTGCTGAACACGTTGCGCCTTTGAGTGCCACAGCAGCACTCCAATTCTGTTCAAGTATCTTTAAAAGCACCTATTGCACCTTCTGAGAGCTGCTACCCTCTGGGAGGGACACCTACAAAACACAGTCACGGAACAGCTGCTCAGCGTGTTCCGATTTGCACATAGCAACAGACGGGGTTTCGCCGTAAGCTGGAGCTAACTTCACCACAAAAGGTGCAACGTATTTCCTGCCTTTTCCTATCGCTCATACCGCTCCCTTCCCAGATGCGTAAAAAGAAATACGCTTACTTCAAGCCTCCGAGGAAAAGATGCAGGACACTGTACAGATACCATACATACTTACCAGTGTATCGACCACATCATTACCCCCCGCCTTTCTGATCTGCCCAGAAAACCCACGCGCCCACCCTGAGAACGCATACAGGCAAAGCAGCGCGGGCAACAGAGAAGGGCTCCCTTTGCGCAGAAATAGGGCTAGCATACTTTAAATGCATCCCAGGAAGGTGGGCCAGCCCGAGCCCTGAAATTTTGGTACTAGGAGAATCTAGAAGTTTCCCCTCAGGAGAAAGGAGGAGCTAGCAGCTGAAGAGCAGCAGCTTCTTAAGAGGCCCACCAGCTGTTACTGTGTAGCCTATTTTAGCTTACTCTGTAGACAAACACATATGCACATTAATAGATTAAGCCTGTCGTTTTAACACTGCAGAGCTGGTTCCAATCAGGCTTGGGAGCTGAGCTCGGCTGGCTGCAGAAGTGTGCCCTCCCGTGACTTTCTAATGCAGAACAAGACCTTAAAGATCTGAAGCATCATTAAAAACACTCCAGAAAAGCGGCGGCTAACCACCGCGCTCTGCTTCCGTATTTCATCGTGCGGAGCTAACGCTGGAGTCAAATGACTTAAGATGACAAAAGCGCCATTACAAAACAAGGATAAAAAAAAACTCTAATGCAAGCAAGCTGCCCCGCATTGTCATCGGTTACTTAAGGAGGCTGTTAAGTAGTCATATTTTAGCTACCTTTGTTTTAGAAAATGGTGACCAATGTTATCGGCTTCCTAAGCATGTGTCCCAATTGTTTTGGATGAAAACCATATCCAGGTCAGAATAACAAGCAGCAGCTTTTTAGGTTATTTCTATTAAATGAACCTCCATTAAGCACAATAGTTACCCTGTCTGTGCTCAAAATTACTTTGAAGATTAGACTATCTGTTGGCCGTGAGCCTTCCCAGCGTTGGATTCTGTAGATCACCTTTGTCCACTGGAACACAAGCTTGCCTGCCGTCCAGTCCTCGACCGACGTGGAGGGAGGCTGGAGAATGCACGTCTCAATAATTCACCGTGTTGACCTCACAAGAAGAAACCGAGCCGTCTCAGGGCTTGAAAACAACCCATCAACGCGCTGCTCCGAAACCTGAGATGCTGCAGCGGCTTCGAGACTACCATCGGGATCACCAGGAGACTAATCCCTCTGTGAGAGACTTACCAATCAAATCCACATCAACTATTGCGCCGTTCAGATTTGTCTACGGTAATTGTGTAGCCCGATTCCAGGGGCGAGGGGATTACAATCCAACCAGGAGGCAGACTCTTCAGCCTTGTGTTTTCTCCAGATAAAACCAAAGACCCCAAGCACCCACAGTGCATACAAGAGCCTTTGAGAGCACAGAAACTCAACTCCTTTGGGAAGATTCATTTACTGCACCACGAGCTCACCTGCAGAAGCTCTTACTTCGGGAATCAGAGAAGCCAGCCATGGAGTTTCTGATCAAAACTCAACCAAACGGTCACTCCGTCAGCTGCAACGGACCAAACTACTACGTCAACAAGTGTGCTGACAATATTAAAATCCCAAGGAGCTTGGCCTGAACAAGAACCAGCTGGATTCTCCCCAGATGAGATGGAAGCTGGAGGGACAGAGCTATCTTGCCCTTCATCAACAAGGCAGCAGAGGACACACTGGAGCTCAAGAGTGACAGGGACCGTCAAGGTGCACGTGTGTTCCTAGAGGTACCTGGGCCAGCATACCCCGGGATGAGCATCATCGCTGGCGAGATCAAACGTTCCTGGCCGCGACTCAACACAACACTTGGAATTTCATGGTTTGAACAGCGTCCAGGATGCTACTTGGCTCCATCACTCATACTAATTTCACCAATTAGCGCAGAAGAGCTGCTAACTCGTTCTCCTAAAACTATTCTTGGGTGAAACAATCTGGGAGGGCAGAAGCATCCTAGGTAGGTGCCACTAACAGCACCTGGCTTCTGCCGCTTGGTCTGAAGAATCGGTTTACAATCACCATGCAATAACCGTACAAAGAATCCCAGTCTTCATTAACGATTAGAATCCTTCTCCTCCCACCACTTCACAACACAAAGCTCTCAAGCTGCTCACAGCAATGAGACTGTAACCCTTCTTGCACACCAAAGAACAAGGATAGAAAAAAGAAGCTACAAAGAGAGATTGTTATGGATGGTTGCTTGCCTGTGTTTAATTTTAGAGACAGCCTTTGACCCGCCTTCTTTCATACCCCATTTTATTACCTTGGTGAAAAACCCTTTTCCCCAGAATAAGTAGGATCGCTCTCAACTCTCTCACCAGAATTCATTTGCTGACCTGACTTTAACTTCAAAACCTAAGTATTCAGAGATTTCCGTGTCCAAACTTGGGAGCGCTTCCTATTGAATGAATCCAACTTCTTGGCCCTTTAGCCTGACTTTAGCTGTCTGATACACAGGTTACAACCTGTGCAAGTTCAAAGGCAGTTCGATAGAGCCAGCACCACCCTGCTATCAGTACCCCAGTTAACAATTTCGAAGCTAGCACCAGCACAGAAAGCCACCACGGCACCTTCAATGAAGC